TTTATTTTAAAATTTAAAATTAAAATTTTCAATATAAATGCTTATTGTTCTTATTCACTGGACATCTTTTAAAGATATTAAAATGATGTCTCTAGGTACAGCTATATTGTCATTAAAATGCACATGTCTTTTCCATCTGTCTTGAAGCATCTTCTAATGCTAATGCCCTGTTTACTCCAACACTGAACTCCACATGTTCTGCAACCAATTCACGAACAATTTGATTGGATCGTCATAGAAATCTTGTTGAGAAATCAATCCTTGTACCATATATTAAAAGACTACCAATTCAATTCAAGTGCAAAATTAATCGCAGTTTCAGTGAAAACGCGCAGAAGCACCAAAATTGGTGCCCGATAACACACAAGAAATCATTTAGAGCAAGTAGACAACACCTTGGCCCACTTTTTGGCAATGTATGGGTGAACTTACAGGAGTACAAAGATCTGACTATTTTATGCATTTGGCCCATTCGGCTCAACGAAACTGCACCTTAGCCCCTCTAGCCCTGTGCAGGATTTTAATTCCTCCCCCCAAGATTTGTACAACATTACCCCAGTAGATGGGTTCAAAAGAAGAAGAAAAATTTAATTGTGCGCTCCGGATTAGTGATATTAAATTTTGGATTAGAGCTATTTATCTTTAGTTGCAATCTCCATAAAATTTTTTTCTTTATTTTTCTAATTAATTTTATAAATAATTATAAATTGTTAAAAAAAAATTTGACGATTTTAGATGAGAGTACAAATTTAATCAGAGTCCGATCTGGCCGCCCATATGGTGCACGTGAACCTTGGGCCCCCACTGGTCTCTAGAGTCTCGTCGTAGATGAGAAATTTCCCTTTACCGAAAATGAAAACCCGTGAGTAATTAGTATTCTAATTTTGTTTTCAACCGTTGGAAAATAAAAAAAGTGAATAATTAGGTGGTGGGTAAACTTCCATTAAAAAATGTCAAAATAAATGCTCCCACCATATACTAAAGAGTAAAGACAGACGCCCGTGACCTCAAACACGTCAAACTCAAAGAAATTTTTTTTTAATTTTTATTAAAATTGAATAATGAAAGTTTATTTTTTTGAATATACTTTCTTATTCATAAGATATATGATTAAAAGTAAATTAAGTTTATATTAATTCATCTCACTTGCATTCTTAATGTTTTTTCATATAGTGTCTTTAAATTATAAATTAAATGTATATTAATTATATATATTTTAATCTTATTAGTTATTTAATTAAAATTATATACATGTTATTCATATTAAAAATAAAATTAATTTTTATATAAATTAATGAGAAAATTATAATTAATACATTCTTAATATATATTTTAAGAATATAAATTAGATAAATTTATTTTTTTATAATTAATTTATATTAAAAAATTAAAAATTATTGTAACTTTAATTTCATCAATCTTTTAATTTCAAACAGTCATATGATATTAATAATAAAAATTAAATTAAATTTTTTAATTTTTTTATAAATATCAAATGTAAAATATTAATTAATATATTCTTACCTCCAGACACAACTTAGACTGAGTCATATTTCTAATTTAATCATTATTTTTAAAAAAATATATTAACCAAACAAACTCGGAAATGAAGACTTAATTCTTATTCGAAAAAATTACGAAGACAACTATGAATAAGAAAAAAAAAAGTTTGGGACTTATTTGGGATGAGTTAGTGTTATATTTTAAATAATTAGTGTCACATTTATTTAATATAATTATTTATTATATTTTTATATTATATTTTGTTAAAAAATTAATTTTTTATTTTTTATAAATTAAAAAAATATAATAATTAATTTTAAAAAAAACCATTAACAATTAAAGTGTCACAAAAGCATCACTCCTTGTTGGGAGTTAAGGTGTTTTTTTAATATGAAAGAAGCTTTTAAAAAAGCAGTAATGATACATTAAAGCCTGAAAACAAGTGATGTAACAAGAACCAAACGATATAATAGTCGCCTGTTTATTGAAGTTTGGTAGTCTTTTCATCAAATTTGAAATCGAATTTTTAATTACTAACATTTAATAATATAACCTTATTAGTTATTAACTTATATTTATATAAAAAAAAGAAAAAGAAAAAAGGTGATGTAACAAGGGAAAGTTCTCGTCTTCAAAGCAGTAAGCACCAATTTCGAATTTTTTTCTCTCTTATCAATGTTTTCATCTTTTATTTAAACACAATCATTCAAAGACGCAGTATTGCCTACTTTCAAAAAAGAAATCATTCCCACCGAAACAGACAACAACCACCGTCCCTACCGTCGTTTTGGCTCTTTAATTCTCCTTGCTTTTGCCTAATTTTAGCTTTCCGCACGCAGTTTATTCACAAGCTATAAATCTGTATAAAAACCAGAGCTTTTGTCCACGCATTCTTCTCTATTCCCCTGAAAACAGAATCGAAAATGAAGTGGTTTTGTTTTGCTTTTCTTCTTCTTCTTTTCCATCTGGATCTTTGCCACGTGTCCATGGCAGTTTCCGGGGAGAAGAACCAGAGGAAAACATACATAGTACACATGTCGAAATCCGAGATGCCGGCGAGTTTTGAGCACCATACCCACTGGTATGATTCGTCTCTTAAGTCGGTCTCCGAATCGGCTGAAATGATATACACTTACGAGCAAGTCATTCACGGTTTCTCCACCCGGTTGACGCCGGAGGAAGCTGTGCAACTCGAGAGCCAACCCGGGGTTCTCTCTGTTTTGCCTGAGTTGAAGTACGAGTTGCACACGACTCGGACTCCTGAGTTCCTGGGACTCGACAAAAGTGCCGATTTGTTTCCCGAGTCGGACTCAGTGAGTGACGTAGTTATTGGTGTGCTGGATACCGGTGTTTGGCCGGAGAGTAAGAGCTTTATCGATACCGGACTTGGGCCGGTACCCAGTAGCTGGAAGGGCGAGTGTGAATCGGGTACCAATTTTAGCTCATCGAATTGTAACCGGAAATTGATCGGTGCGAGGTACTTCGCCAAAGGTTATGAAGCCACAATGGGTCCGATTGACGAATCTAGGGAGTCTAAATCGCCTCGAGATGATGATGGTCACGGTACTCATACTACCTCCACAGCTGCAGGGTCGGTGGTGCAAGAAGCCAGCTTGTTTGGATATGCAGCAGGGACGGCACGCGGGATGGCCACACGCGCTAGGGTGGCTGTTTACAAGGTGTGTTGGCTTGGTGGGTGCTTTAGTTCCGATATCGTGGCGGCAATGGAGAAAGCAGTTGACGACAACGTGAATGTTCTCTCTATGTCCCTCGGCGGCGGAATGTCGGATTATTACAGAGACAGCGTTGCAATTGGAGCTTTCGCTGCAATGGAGAAGGGGATCTTAGTATCTTGCTCCGCCGGGAATGCCGGTCCGAGTCCGTACAGTTTATCAAACGTGGCTCCATGGATCACCACTGTGGGTGCAGGATCGTTGGATCGTGATTTCCCAGCCTACGTCAGCCTCGGCAACGGGCAGAACTATTCCGGTGTTTCGCTTTACAAAGGCAGTTCTTTGCCGGGGAAATTGCTGCCGTTTGTTTACGCCGGCAATGCTAGTAATGCTACAAACGGGAATTTGTGTATGATGGGATCTTTGATTCCAAAAGAAGTTGCAGGGAAAATAGTGATGTGTGACAGAGGAATGAGCGCCAGGGTACAAAAGGGCGCTGCCGTAAAATCCGCCGGCGGTGCGGGAATGGTTTTGTCTAATACTGCCGCAAACGGCGAGGAGCTGGTCGCTGACGCCCATTTGTTGCCGGCGACAACCGTGGGTCTAAAGAATGGTGACGCCATTAAAAGTTACCTCTTTTCGGATCCCAACCCGACTGCTACAATTCTCTTTGAAGGCACCAAAGTGGGCATCAAACCGTCGCCCGTGGTGGCCGCATTCAGCTCCAGAGGACCAAACAGTATCACCCCAGAAATTCTGAAACCGGACCTAATCGCGCCAGGTCTCAACATCTTAGCGGGATGGTCCGGCTCGGTGGGTCCCACAGGATTGGCGATTGATTCCCGACGAGTGAATTTCAACATCATTTCGGGAACCTCCATGTCTTGTCCGCACATCAGCGGCCTAGCAGCATTGCTCAAGGCGGCTCATCCAGATTGGAGCCCCGCCGCCATCAGGTCTGCCCTCATGACCACCGCCTACACGGAGTACAAAAACAAAGAAAAATTACAGGACATCGCTACCGGAAAACCCTCCACACCGTTCGATCACGGGGCCGGACACGTGGATCCCGTATCAGCCCTTGATCCAGGACTCATCTACGATTTAACAGCCAATGATTACCTCGACTTCCTCTGTGCATTAAACTACACCGACTCACAAATCACCTCCCTTGCAAAAAAGAGTTCCACATGCGACGCCGGGAAGAAGTACAGCGTCTCCGATCTCAACTACCCATCCTTTGCCGTCAATGTTGATACGACGACACAAACGGGTAGCTCTGCCGTGTTCAAGCACACACGAACTCTCACAAACGTGGGTTCTCCGGCCACGTACAACGTTTCCGTGTCGCCTCAGATTGCGGGGGTTCAGATATCGGTTCAGCCGGAAACGTTGAACTTCAGTAAAGTGAACGAGAAGAAATCGTACACAGTCACGTTTACTGTGAGTTCACAGCCGTCGGATCCGAATGGGTTTGCACGGTTGGAATGGTCTGATGGGAAGCACATTGTGGGTAGTCCCATTGCGGTTACCTGGAACTCATGAAGAGCAAGGAGGAGGATAGGAAAGAGGGTAATTTAAGTGTCAATTTGGATCTTAGTAAAATGGAAAAAGGATGAAAACAAAACAAAAAGAACTCACTCGAAGGAGTGCAATTGCTTATTGCTAGCTAATTTTCAAACTATTGATGTTGTTTCTGTATTCTGGTACCCGGTTGGGATAAAAGATTAGCTGGGTTAATTCTTTACTGTTCTTGATGTTCTGTCGGGGAGAAAGGAATTAAAACCCGAAAATTGGGTTGACTTCTTGCTCAGTGTATGGTCTTATTGAGGAAATGTGTGAGGCTAGTGTACTGTTGAAAAATGAAGATTAATCTCACACTAT